TGCAGATCGAGCTGAGATGCTTTGCGCTCCAAACAGCCAGCCGTTTGTCTTGTCTTCTGGGCAAACAGGTAAATGAGAAGCCAAACATCTGACCAGGAGCCGCTAGGATCTTGAGCCACGTGGCCCGCACCGAAAAACCCTGTGCCCCCCTGTGCCACAGTCGCCTGTGAAGGAGCACCATTGTGGCAACCGCGGCAAACTGGTCCTGAAGCTGGCAATATCTTGAGATACTCTCGACTGACATCAGGAAACGATTTCGTGCTGCTTCTCCGATCTCCTCCATCTTAGTCCATTGGAAGATGCTTCTCCTCCTCGACAGGGTCGGGCATATCAGCACAATCCTCGGATGCCCCAAGCATACACGACAAATTTCCCTGATTGTATTGCCTCCATTCCATCCTTGAAACTTTAAACAAAAAGGCCATCCTTGAAGATGTTCAACGCATTCCTACGGTCCTACAAGAACCTGAATCGCTTTCCTCCTGCGATCTTCAAAGAATGCATGCGATCCTGCTTCAACAGTAGCATCTTTTTTTCATGCGAAGCAGCTCGGAAGCAACCAGCTTCGCAGGTTCCCTCAAGTGTCCGTAATGGTCCCGACCCTCCTCCCTTCCGTCCTCGACCCAATGATTCTATCCTGATCAAACGATTTGATGCATAACTAGAAACTAGATATTGGAAATTCCGTGGAATATGAACGAATATGATATCTGCTGCATAGGTCATGGTTGTAAGATTCCATGCGGTGGGCCAGCGCTTCCCTGCAGTCACCCTCACCCTCTCGACTCCGCCCAGCTGCAGAGGTGGTGGCGATGCCGGCAGCTGGGCCGTTGGTGACCGCTGCCACCATGTCCTCGGCCGAACCGCCGACGAACCGCCACCGGTGGTGTGGGAGACCACGGCTGAAGAGCCGCGCAGACTGCGCGGTCCAGGTCTCGAATGGTGTTGCTTCGGCCCTGAATGAAGAGGCCGGTGAAAGGTGGAAAAGGGGCCGTCCCACCTAGTTCGACATGCCAGTTTCAAGCCGGATCATGACTTCTCACTGGTCACCAGCTCCAATGGGATGTCAGAGCTCAAATGGGGTGGCTTTGTTCGGGTGACCATGCCCTGCCAAGACCTAACTGCCCCTGAAAGGCCCAAGCAACAAAGATCACCTCTGAGTAGACACCCATGATACACCCAATTGGATACAGCAGGGATACCATTCGATTGCTGATGTGGTTGTGGCCCGCGTTTCGGAATAGATCATTCATGATATATAACTCTTTGGTTCAGGTTCAGGTTTGGGTGGTGTGGTTTGGTTTGGTGGCATAATATACTCGTATTCTCTGACAAACACATCACATGGAAAGGGGGAAAACCATGGGCCCTTTCACTGTTCGACGAGTCCACCCTGTCCCATCGTGTGTCCACCACCAGGTGGCGATGTTCGTCCGAACCTTCTGGGCCTCATGTGACATGGGAGGTCTCCTTCTGGGCCTCATGGAATCCACACGGGAGGCGTCCGATCGTTCCGTTCATAGTAAGGCCAGGAGCTTCGTAGATCTAGTCGCATCCGATCGCTCCGTTCGACCTCTCTTTGGTTCGCTTCCTCTCTTCGCTTGCAGCTGAAGGGCCGAAATGTCGGCGGCGCACAGGGCCTTCTGGCTTCCTGGGTTTCCGCGCACGAAGACAAAAACGCAGCGCGTGACTCAAGCGTGCCGTGCCGTGCCGCGGTCATCAAGTCAACGAGTGGGATGAGTTACCAAGTGAAGCGCACGCGCGCATGCGCGCGAAAAAGCTCCTAGTAGCGTCCTTGCTCCTAGTAGTATGGCCAGGAGCCCGTTCGTAGCGTTCTTGCTCCTAGTAGCGATGCCCTTTGCTCCTAGTAGCGTGTTCGGTGTTTTCTGTGCTGCTGGGGGTGGGCTGTAGATAGATAGAACCCATGGGAGATAGATAGAACATGATCATGATCATTCAATTGGTCCATCGATCTCCCATGTTTGGTGAAATGTGCTGTACTTCCCTTGCATCTCTGTGATCATTGTGGTCGTCTGCCAAATAAAAAATGTATGCACCGCAGCAAGTATGCGTGGTCATTAATTTATGAGGGGGCCTCCCTGGCCCAATGGATGTCGTCTGTTTTTGATCTTCCCAGAGATCCCAGAGGTCGAACTGAGGAGTCTCCCTATTCCAATACACACCCAATCACATCCACATACAAAAAGATTGGTTGCGTTTGTCATCCACATCCATCCAAGAGGTTCGTTGAAAGGCCATCTCCTCCCAGGGAAACGTGCTTTAATGGTTCCATCCTCAGGCAAATAGAATACAGTGGTTTCAGAGGTTCGATGGCACAAACCCCTACATGTCTTTTAGATGGGGATCCGGGATCCATATAAACCACCTTTGGGGATTGTGCCATCTACTCTGAAGCCACTGTATTCTATTTGCCTGGATCCGCAATCCCTGTCGTCTCTCATAGGAGTTGGTGAGTAGCACAGGAAACCCATGGAAACCCCTATCAGAACGGTCGCATCCAGGTGGACATCAAGCGTGCACCCCAAAAGGTAAACACCCTCCAGGTCTCCTGCAAATATTCCTGACCCTTTCTACGGCAAAGGCGTCAAACATCAGCTTGCCAGCTTTTGGACATCAAATCTGCCCAGTCTCCCTTCGTCCAGCAGTCAGACACGGCCAATGCCCTTAGTTAGCGCACGTTGGTTGAAGTGTGAGGATTCAGTGTCTGCGCCAGATAGCACTTCACGACCCTGCATGTGACCTACGCTTCGTTTGCCGCACATGACCGGTCACCGAGGTGATGAATTCGGCCAGGTGGCGTGAATTGGGAGATCCACGCGAAGGAGCTGATGATGTTCATGATGTTGATAGCACAGGCCCTGAACAGCACGCTCGCAGAAGCCAGCCATGAGAATCCACAACTTAAGCAAGACTATTGGACGAGAGGCAAGGCTCACTCAGTAGATCTTTGCACTACATCAGCCGTTGCCCCTTGGGTCCTGACTTCGGCTCAGGGCAGGCGCTGGCTGCAGAGCGGATCTGCAAGATGACACGGACAATGTAGGCGGCCTCAGCAGGGTCTGGTTGAAGGTAGAAGACCCATTGAAGTTGTCAGGAGTCTTCCAGTCTCTAGTGTAACAAGTTGAGACTTGCAAGGATGGTACCTATGGAAAGCTCAGTTGGACAAACTGGATGTTGGATTTGCGGTCATCCTGCTTGTGCGTCTGTAAATGGACCTCGGTTGAAGTACGTATTACATAAATGGTTTCTTTGAATGCACGCAGAAGCTGCTTCTAAGCACTAGCTCCACAATTTCATGCACTGACAACACCAGTTAAGCAAACCATTTGCTGGATCTTGCAGAAAAAAGTCTCATATCTAGTTTTGAAGGAGCTTTCAAGGGTGTGAAAGGGAACATGCTCAATGATTACACCCTTTCCCTGGCATCAACCATTGTCATGCCCGAACCCCGTCTGGGCTGGCTGACCGCGTTCGTCACGTCGGCCATGACGCACTGTGTGAGGTCGAAGTTGCGGTTGCGCTTGGACTCAGCGGCCGCTCACATGCGGAAGGGGGGGCTGGAGCATGCCCGGAAGCACCATCCGATCACCCCTCAGTTGATGTCAGTCCTGCATGTGGTACCAGAACTGGCCATCCTGAACCGGCCATCCTTGCAATCTACCTACGCCCTGCTGTCTGTCTTCGCACCTGCACCTGCTCCATGTTCCGCGCTCCTCGCTCGCTCTTCCAGGTGCCCAAGACACCGTGCGGAGCGCATCCACCTTGGCGATGGTCTCCACGGTGGGTGCGGCGCCGGCAGGGACGAAGGCTTGCCAGTTGGGTGGCAGGGGGTTGGCGTCGGTCACGTGCAGCAGGGCGATCCAGTCCTCCCGGGGGCGGACGCAGCGAGGTGGTTGGGTTTTCGAGGCTCCTCAGAGGAAGCTCTTGTATGTGGTGGTTGATCAAAATTCCTTCTTGCTGAAAGGCTCTAAAGGCTCTCAGTGACGGTCTTATATCGACCTTTCGATCGACTACCATGTGCAAAGGGCGACTCGATCGTCTTTGCTTCGTGTCCAGTCTTTGTGTCAAACCCAAACGGTTGCGGTTCCACTACTGGGACGTCCTGCGACCCCAAACGGCCACCAAACGACTGGGACGGGAAGACGGGACTCATGCGACGGGAAGGAAGGGTTTTTTGGAAGAAGACCAGGATGCACAGGATGCACAGGATCCACCCTTGAGGTCTCAAGTTAAGGGTAGCCATGCCGTCCTTGTTGAAGTCGCAGTCCTCCTTGACAGCTGCACCAACCTAGGCTGCGTCAGCTGAAGTGAGGAAACAACGTTTGGACTCCGAAGCAGATGGCATAAACACAGATGGGATGACAGCGTTCTTTTGTATCCTGGAAAACGCCGGCTGGTGTCTTTTTGCACTCAACTTGTGACTCTCGACGATGCAAAAAAGAAAAGACACCTGCAACCGTCTCGCTCCTGGGCCGTCTCGCTTCCGACCATGTCCGGTTCAAGAGTAACGAGAAGCGACGAACGGAACAGTTGGGCATCGCGACTCAAACGGAGCGATCGGACGCTACGAACGTAGCTCCTGGCCTTACTACTAGGAAAAAGAAGCTACTAGGAGCAAGGGCATCACTACTAGTAACAAAGGGCATTACTACTAGTAGCATTCTTGCTACTAGGAGCAAGGAGCTACTAGTAACAAAGGCTTTGTTGGCTGAGGGTTCTGTCGACCTCCGGAATCAAGGGTGCCAGGGTGCCTCTGCCAGGAACTGGGGAACTGGCAGAGGCACCAGACCTGCTGCTTCAGGTGCTCCAATGGCTTGGAAGAAGTGTGTTGCATGTCTTTTCATGTTCTCGGTAAAAATCATGTTGATCTTGTTGCAAACGGTAAACATGATTAGAGTAAACATGATTACGGTTAAAAAAAATCATGCTTGGTTTGTTGCAAACGGCAAAAAATATGTTTAGAGTTGAAATCAAGATGCGGTTGCCATCTCACCAAAGTTCGCCATCAGGGCCGTCCAGTCTCCCGCGCACAGGGCACCAGAGTTGACGGCGGCACCACAGGCGTTAGCGGCGAAAGAGAGGTAAGAGGCAATCCAGGTGATGGAGGTGATGAACCCTGCCACACCTAAGCATGTTGGATGTTGGGAATGCAAACAAGGCAGCTAAGAGCAGAAAACCATCGGGACACGGGAAATGGTGTTCATGTGATGAAATGTTGGTGGCAGAGCAAGGAAGGTGCTTGCGTCGAACTCGACACGGAACAAATTTCTGAGCATCGGCGATGCCCTCAACAGACTGGTGTAATTTCTCCCAACAAATAATTATGCTAGCTAGATTGGTGTGTTTGCGTGTTTTTGCTCTATAAACTGTCATAAACCCACAGCATGAGTACCACTGAAGGGAATGATATGGGTGCCGAGTGACTGGCAGCGCAGCCCACTGGAGAGTTGTTTGGGCACTTGAGCCCGTCGTAGTCAATGGCCTTGAGCCCGGCTACGGCTACGGGTCGGCTACGGCTACGGAATCCCTTTTCTAATTTGAATATATAAACTTGAACGAACAGGCAGGTGGACAAGTGCAAATAGGCAAACTTATGAATAACCTCGAACTTATAAACCAGAACCTTCCCAGTGACAGTGACCTTATGACTTATGAGATCCGAGAATGAGGTCACTTACCAATCCTGAAGAGGCCACTGGGAAGATCCTGGTCGTTAAGTGCATTTAGACAAACGGGACTGAACACGTTAGTCACTGAGCTCTTTTGACAGAACCCCACAGAAACAAAGCATCAACAAAACCCAAAACCCGCGAAACCGCCAACGGTGATCAACTTGTTTGATTTTCAAGCCTCGCCTTGTACAGGAAGACCACTGCTTGCCCCAAATAGGCGGCGCCCTGCGCAGGTTGGCTTGGTCAGGGTCTAGCGTTTCCTCACCAACTCTTCCAACTGCCCTCCAAGGTCCTCCTCACCAAACCCCGCCTGAACCACGTCGATCACGCACTCGGTGCGGATCCATGGCAGTTCCTCCGGCTGGGACTCGTAGAACAAGTCGTTCAAGTTGCGCAGGGGCTGCTTCAGCTCAAGGGCTTAGTGGGCAACTGCTGCGAAAAACTGAACCAAAAACCAGTCACCATCCAGCACAGGCATTGCTTACAGTATTGGTCGCTGCCTTCAACATTCTTTGCATCTTACAGTAAATGGTGGGATAATTTTGTTTGAAGCACTACTCTTCTTTCTTTGCCCACCAATCCTTCGAAGCCGTTCTGACATCCTTCCCGATCGATGGACGTCGTACAAGTTGCCACATCGTTTGCATCATTCGTGCCACATAGTTTCGTGACCGCAGCGTATAGTGACTATATGTTTGCCAACTGAAGTAAAGGAAGTTCCTTTTCGAGTGACCTAAAGACCATTCATTTAATAGTCTTTGACTCCCAGAGTATATAGATAATGTTAAATACATAGCTTCACAAACATTGCGTTTGGACAAAATGGTTGTCTCATGTTTTTGTCCTAGCTCTATGCTGCGACCGAGCTTCTCTTGGCGTGCTCGATGACCTTGTCGATCCCAGGGATTTCCTCCCAATCGTTGATGGTCTGCATCACACTGGATGTCCTCAAGCGCCGGGACATAGAATTAAAAAAGTTGTGGTGATGCGCTAAAGCTTATTGTCCAGACGTTGTTGGCCTCACATGGAGGGACATAGAATCGATAAGAGTGGTGTGGTGATTGGACACAAGTCTTTTTCAATAAGGTGGGTTCTACTTCATCCCACTCGCTACTGGGCACGAGCTCTTGATAAGGCCTCAAGTAGGCCTACTGGTCTCAAATGCATCTTCCAATCGCACGCTAAGATGGAGGCCATGCAGGTTCTTCTGCGGGCATGGTCTTGTATGCGAACGCTGCGCAGCCCACCTGATGGCCGGGTGTGACATCCTGCCACACCCGATCAAACTTGAGCACACATATTATCAAAATGAACAGCGAGCTGGGATAACCAGGATCACATAGAGCAACCTGCTTTAGCAGTTTTCAATCGTTTTCCTTGAGGAACACTCAGACTAAGATTGCTGTAGCACTCCGTAGCGCCGCTTGCTTTCGCGTGTGCACCCTGAGGCTCATCTGCCTCATCTGCAATTCTTCCCTTTAAGTCTGTAGAATCTCCTTTGTCACTCTGCGGCCAAAGCCACCAGTGCCAGCACGACTACAGAGCCCATGGCTTTCCAGCGCCAGCTTCCAGGGGTGGCAGGCGCCTGCCAGGATATCCAAATAAAATCAAGATTCAGAAGATTCCTCAAGAAAATCTTCACGTTACTTGGGTCCTTTGCCTGTATATAAATCTTTTGGAGGTCAAGTCTCAGTCTTCTTCAAGTCGCAGCTCTGCTCTTCTGAGCATCCACGAGTCGCAAATACTATATACGTTCTTTCTGGTCTCTTGAGACCTTCAGGCTGACGATTTGGGGAAAGGAGTCGAATAAAGTGGACACATCCTTTTTCTTCATTTTCAAACCGCACCTCTGGCACTTCCACCAACAACTCTTGAGCTTCTTCCATGGGAACGGCTGAATGAGTGCTAGACATCGTGATCTGAGAAGACGAGATCGGGAACAGTTCAGCCGTCTGTGAGCAGAGGTGCTGCAGAAAGAATCCACTCAGGTTTCAAGCAACCAAAAATCGGCAGCGAAAAGCACTTGGTCTTGAAATTTGATGGAATTTGAAGAAGGGGCTTCAAAATTGGAAGGACTGATTGAGCTTCAAAAATGCTGACCGTGAAGTTTCCTTCGTAAAACCTCCTGAAACAGTCAGTTGTCTTTCTGAAAACCGCACACAGTGGGGTTAGGGGTTGTGCGACGTGTTTTGATGCACGAAGTTACGGATCCAGCAGGGACAATTCCAAATCATTGGAAGTCCTGCGTCATCTGACAAGCAAAGGGCTTAGCGACCAAGTCACAATTCGTCACTCGGTACAAAGGGGCTCAGGCCTTTCGCAACCTGATCTAGGTCGGCCCGAAAGTTGATCTGGCAGATAGGATCCCAGAACGCCACAGGCGTTTTTTCTTGGACCCTCAAACTCTTCCCATCATCCGCAGTATCTCAGTTTCTGGGATCCTCTTTGGAAAAAAGTCTGCCGGTGCAACTCCATTGCTTTCCAGTTCGCCGCAGTGGGCGATGCAGATCAGATTGAGTTGGATCAAAATTCTGGACGGTACGCGCGGCCTCCTGACGGCGTTGCCCTCAGCACCTCCGAAGATCTATATACATATATACCCAATCCTTAACCCCTTGGACCTTGGAGAACCCCTTTCCCTGCATCCCAAAACAAACTAACTACTTCACTTCGAGTGATCCCCACACCTGCCCAGAACTGACTTCAAAGCATTGGCACGCAGTCCGACATGTGTTCTATCAACTTGTGTATGTCTGTCTGTGTTCTGTCGCCTTCCGTCTGACATATCTTCTGGCATGTACTTCTGACATGTGCTGTGCTCTCGCATCAAGACCTGGCATTATGTATATCCTGAAATGTGTTGCAAAATGTGGTCGACTTCGGTTCTGATATGTGTTCCGAGGTTTGTTTTGTCATAGGTTCTGACATGTGTTCTGGCATCAAACCTTCCATCATTTGCGATGCTCTGGCACGCTCTCTCTGTGATGTATTCTGACATCCGTTCTAACAGTAGCATCTCTTCGTGCTCACTCTGCCCAAACCCGCAAGGCACTCCACCGCGCTCCACTCTGTCAGAAGGCGGAGAAGGGAGGAAGGACGGGGCACAGTCGCTGACACACAATCTAGCGACCCTTGACCTGACAAATGAGGAAAGCAACCACCCCATGGTGGTTTGTGACTTGGTACAACATAATAAGGATAATTCTACCAAACACACCCAAAAAAAGCTTTAAAAAACCGCTGTTCTTCCGATGTCGTTTGACTCTTCGATTCAATGCACGTTGTGTGACTCTTCGATGCGGTTGCCTGCGTCCCTGCCTGTGATGGAGCACCAGTGTGGCAACCGCGGCACCGATGTCTCTCCTTGGCTCCTCTGTCTTAGTCCATTGGAAGATGCTTCTCCTCCTCCACAGGGTCCGGCATATCAGCACAATCCTCGGATCAACTGGATTGCTTCTCTTCTGCATTTTGGCTTCTATTCTGATCTGATGATTTCATGCATGGATCTTGAGTATGTCCCCTTCCCTGCAACCGTGGATGATGATGGTGAGCAAAGACCTTTCTCAAGAAATAGCGCCTGTGCTGAGAGACGTTACACGTTTACTGAGACACCTTTTCTTTGATTGATAGATCATGGTTGTACATCGACCTGAAGGTCGACCCTGAAGTGTCCGAGGACCTTGCACCTGCGGTGATGAGCGGGCTGGAACGATGCGGACTTCGCAGAAGCCAAGCTGCAGAGGTAGTGGCGATGCCGGCCGCTGGGCCGTTGGTGACCGCCGCCACCATGTCCTCAGCAAGTACGAGTACGGTGCCAAGAACCAAAACACTGAGATGGGTGGGGTTCAAGGCTGGCACAACTTCCTCGACGCTGTCATCCATCAATTAAGTCGTCATTGTGAGCTAAATGATCTTAATGACAGTTAAAAATACAAACGATCTACAATGAGCTTAATGATCTAATCTAATTAACTCGTCATTCGCCGTCAACGACTCCTCTCCATCTTCCAGTAAACGGGCTCTCCCGGATCAGCTGAGGAGCAGAGATATCGGCAGCGCAGAGTGCCTTCTGGCTTCCTCAGGCAGTCTGAGCTGATCACAATCTATCTTGGGAAATGAAACGGAAAGTGAAAGCTCGGGTGTGGGAAATATAGAATCAGTGATGATACCATATTGGATTGTTTTGGATATCGCTGTCACCCTTCCCCTCAGAAACTCAACATCATGACAGAAACTATTCTATACTATGTTATATTTCGACCATATTATATGCAGCTGGGGCACAGCCCAGCAAAAAACAGGGAATTGAGCACAGGGAAAAGAAAGACCTAAACATGCCAAAGCATGGAACCGTGTGGTCAACGGTAATCGCAGTGAGTCTTCTCTCTCTCTCTCTCTCCCTCCCTCCCTCCCTCTTGTAAAATTCAGCAGCTGTTTTGTTTGTTGTTTGTTT